AACTCAGAAGCGTGGAGTGAGATCCCCTATGCAGCTGTTCCCCAGTTCTCTGAGATACTCATCTGGCACCTGATGTGATGATCGCTCCGACTAGATGTTTCGTCTCTGTCTCTGTCTGGGGCCCCGAACTCATAGGTGGGGCCCTCCGCCCCTGGAAGCCATACCAAACCCCGTAGGAAGGGCGAGGGACGTGCAGACTACCAGCTGTGATGCATCCCGTGCCGATCTGCTCATGAGTCAAGTATCCCCACTCGTTGTGAAATGTACCGGTACTCGAATGGACCTTAGCGCCGTCCAGATACACGTCTTGACTCTGCGTTTCGTTGTCGTAGGTCAGTGCGAGGTGATACCAGCGATTTGAGTCCAGCTTCGTCGCTACTACAGGTCTCGAGTCCAAGATGGAGCAGTACAGATCTCCAGTAGAGCTCACAAGTACGAACTGTTGATGGAAGTGTGGCCAGCGTCGACTCTCCCGACTGGACGACTGCAGGCCGTAGATAATGCCACCAAACGCTTCTCCATCCGCTGCTGGCATCAGACTGAACCAAAGGTCGAAGCTGAAGCTCTCGCTGCCCAGAAAAGTCAAGCGGAAGCGAGACGGGTGTGGCTGTTCACGTCCAGCACTTGCCAAGTACGCGTACGAGTCAATGTGTCGATCATCGTTACCTTGCAGGCCCCTGAACACCATCGACCGCGACGTCATGTACTGTTTCTTCCAGATCGGATCTAGATCTGATACTGTTCTAGATTCTAAAATTTGCTTCCAGATTTCTTCGTCTCTAAAATACGTCAGCCACCAGAAGTTCGTGTGCGACAAGTGGAATGCATCAAACCCAGTCAAGTTAGCTGCACAGCAACTCGACTGCATCTGCTGGTAATTGTTCCGGTCTCGTAATGGCAAGTCGACTGCTCCTACTCTGCGTCGCCATGTGCAGTTGTGGCCCTTCTCTCGGCCTTGAACAGCGAACAGCGCAGACATTCCACCTGAGCCCTCGTGACGAACCTGTACCCACTTTCAACGAACTTATTAAGTGTTTCTCCACGCCACTAGATAAAGTGGCTACATCTTCTGCCGACAGCAGCCCACGCCACACTCGAAAGTCGTCTATAACCCCATGAAAGCCATACCATCCCAAGTGTCCTGGCTTGGGGAAGTGAAGTTCATTGGCTGTAATGCACCCCGTTCCAACTTGTTCGTACTTAAGGAAGTCCATCTCTCGGTGCAACGTTCCTGTGTCAGATCGAAGCTTTTCTCCATCAAGATACACGTCTTGACGGTGCGTTTGATGGTCGTAAGTCAGAGCGAGATGGTACCATCTTCCCACTTGGAGGTTGCTCTTGACCACGGGGCGATAGTCGAGTACAGAGCAGAATAAGTCGCCTAAGGCGCTTATTACTACGAACTGCTGGTGGAATTTTGGCCACACGCGGCTCTCGGCGTGCACCGACTGGAGGCCGTAGAGGATACCGCCCGTGTACGCTCCGTCAGGCTGCTCCGGTAGCAGGGCGAACCAGACTTCGAAGTGTCTCTGAGACTTGATAATTGGACTTTGGGGGGTTGATATGAATCAGAAGTTCTGACACTGGAATCAGATTTTATCAGACCTTTGAAGCCCAGCGATCGACTGCGAAGGAATAAGGCCTTGTACGCGGCGGTGTGCAGCGGGTCAGCGAGAGTAGGGAGCTTTGATTGCCAGTAGGAAGAAACGCTGAGGTGTTGAAGCCAGAAGGAGCTCGTGTGGGACAGCGAGATGGCGTCCAGACCCGTTAGGAAGCTGCAGATAGCCCATTGGCACGTGGAATCAGATACCGGTATGCCACGTGCAACCGACAACGGTTGTACGAAGGTTGTGCCTTGCATGTGCAGCAAGGATTTTAAACTTGGCATTTGTAAGGTAGGCTAAACGAAATGCGATTGGCTACAAACAGTGTAGACTCCTCCACCTCTACACCATTTCCCGAAAGTTTTCCAGGCAATGTGAAAAAAGGAGATGAGAGGCAAAAAAAAAGTCACCGTCTCAGACAAAAATAGTACTATTCCCAACCTGAGCAAATTTGCTCATCTACTGTCCCAACCAATGTGAGAGCGCCAAATTTAGGCGCCAAAACGAATCCATAGCACAAGTTCATGTACTGCTGACACAAAGACAACGAGTGGCTCACAGATACGAAGTTGGGACTGACGCAGGGGTTAAATATTCTCATTCCTCAATTCGACTTTAGCAATGCCTTCTCCCACCGTCAACACAAACTCTCTGCGCGATCACGCTCGAGAGCAAGCCAAGCAGCGCGTCCTTCGTGTCTTCCGCGAAGGTGGTGATTGGAAACTTGCTGCAATCCACAACGACATACCCTACAATACTGCTCGCCGTGCTATCCTGAACAACGCTGCGACGGCCAAGCCGCGAGGTGGGGTCCGTCAGGCTTGTGTGAAAATGACGGCTGAAGTGATGGCAAAGATCGAGGAGTATATTGATGAGGATTGCAGGGCTACTTTGACTAACTTATGTGACAGACTGCGTAGCGACTTAGGTGTTGTTGTAGGCAAGTCATCCGTTAATCGTGCTCTCCAAGGCATGCTTTATAGCACTAAGAAGATACGCATTGAGAAGTCCACAATGAACAGCTCCGATAACAAGATCAAGCGCAAAGCGTTCGTAGAGAAGCTCGACGACCATGTTGCTAAGGAAAACATGATCGTCTATCAAGACGAAACCAATTTCAATCTCTATTTGTCACGGTCACAGGGCTGGTCCCGTATCGGCGACAGAGCCGTCGTGCAGCTTCCACCGTCGCAGGGAAAAACCTGCACGTACAAGGTGGCGTTTCAGCGCTTACGGGGCTGGTGCTACTGCGAACGCACGAAGGCTCCATAACCAAGGAAGAGAACGCCCGCTTCATTGCCGATCTCTTCGTCGCAGCGCTGCGAACTGAGGAGTATCGAGAACTACCTGCCGACAACAAGATCGTCATTGTGACGGACAACGCGCCAGCACACAGCAGCGTCGAAGATTTAGCCCGCCAGTTGCTTGTATCCGATGGCATCCTAAACGGCCACAAACTTGAGATTCTGCGGCTCGGTCCTTACAGCCCAATGCTAAACCCCATTGAGGGGTGCTGGAACGTCCTCAAGTCCAAGATGCGCCTCTTCATGGCGTCAAAGAAGGATGCTATGCTTGTGCGAGGTGAGTACAGTACTTACACAGCGCAACGACTAGCTATCATGAAGGAGGCAGCTGATATGGCGATGCCGTCGATTACGCGGCGCCTCGTGTGGTGACTCGAGCGGCATGCGGCTAAACTTGGCTGCACTGCTAAACGCGGCGACAACATGCAGCTGGGAAAGTAAAATTTTCACTTTGCCTGGGACGCGTGATGGGCAAATGTCCAGCTGCTGGGAAACATGCACTTTTCTTTTCTTAAAACCTCATTCTAGGTTTTTTCGATTAAAACCTCATTTTCATAATGCCTGAAAAACTTTTCAGTCAGCCCGGGAAATGGTGTATAACTGCGGGCTATTCATTTGCTTGTACTTCTGGCACCGGTTCTGGAAGGGAGCAGGCAGCGATTACACGACGAAAAGATTACTACGCCTCCGATGAGATATCCTGCGTTCCGTCATTGATGCTGGATTTCAGCGAGTACACTGTACACAAGTCGAACAAGCATCTCAAGATGGTGACTGTAGCATTGTAGTCTAGGAGGTTTTCGTCCAGACCAGCCAAGGCATTGGTTGGTCAAGGTTTTCCCTCACCACAGAACATCTTAACTCGCGCACAATTCAACCTGCCTTTAAACGAATCAACAGGTTATCAGCTCAAGCTTTATCTGTGCTCAACGTGTTGCCGTTGAAGTGTTGCGGC